GTTCAACTTTGGATTACTTTAGTTTAACGTGAGGTGGGATTGTTTGCAAAAAGCCTGGTTTATTTCAACTCTTCTTTGCTCTAATTTAGACGAGCTGCCCAAAGCTAATTATTTATTAGTTTTTATCCAAAAAAAACTTGATAAGTTCGAAAGTGTCGTACAGTACATGTAAACAATTTTCTCAAATGTTTATTCCTAAATTTTTTATAATCTAAAAATTTCATTAAACTTTTTTTCAAAGGAATTAAGTCTCAATTTTTTATTACTATCACGGGCAGCCGTAGTACATTTGAATTTCCGAGCCGAGTCAACCTTTCCGGTCCCATTTTGTACTGTCCCTAGCTCTATGGACAGGACTAGCCGGTGCAAAAAGGTTTACGCTGTCAGACTTTATGCTTCTTATAGGTTGATTTTATTTTTACTAAAGGGGCAGAGGTGGGTGCTATGTCTTTGCAACCTGAGGGTTTAGAACTTTGATATTTCAAACTAAGACTATTTGATTTTTCAAAATTCATAGTTTAAAATATCTAAGGTTGAGTTGTAAAGATATTGGGCTCATAAAAATAGGGTTTGTAGCGAAGACTCAATTCCTTTTCCAATTGTTCTAATATTTATTTGTTTCTATATTCCGTGCTAAATTCAATATTATTGAACAATTAAGCCTCTGAATACCTGCCCTTTAGTTGCAATGTATTTGTTTATTACTCGAATTAAGACAGATTATTTTGCAACGGATATTGAACATGCAAATATACACAAATCATGCAATCATACATGAGTGTCCTAAAAATATGTTGATATTAATTATGATCAGAATTGTACTGGGTGTCCTGAAACCTGCTATGAACACATGCCCATGGCGATATATTCTGTAAAAAAGTCTTTAAAAAACTTTATTTACAGGGTGTTTAGCATAAAAACTTCTAAGAATCTAATTCTTTGGTCAATCATATGATTTCAGTAAGTACGTATATAATAACAATATTCTCCTTTTTAACCTTATTAATCAAAATTCGGACCGAATTTAATGAATTCGAGCTTCTTCACTGAACTAACTGCTGCCAGTTCAAACTTTAACCACGGATTGAAAGAATTTGAGCTGACTCGCTGAACCACCTACTGTCAGTTCAAACTTTAACCACGGATTGAAAAAATTTGAGCTGCGTCGCTGAACCACCTCACGTGGATTTAACGGTTCTGTCAATATTTCAGAAAGCTGCGACTTTCGATCACAATTTAACCCCATACATAATTTTTTAACCTTTTTTCTTAAATACTTTTTTGTCAGCATATACATTTTGAATGAAAAAGTATAAAATAAACAAATCCTTAAGTTTAAACTAAAAATAAACTTTAACCACAGATTGAAAGAATTTGAGCTGCCTCGCTGAACCACCTACTGTCAGTTTAAACTTAAACCACGGATTGAAAGAATGCCTCGCTGAACTGTCAGTTAAAATTTAAACCGACGCCATCACTTTAGCGATCTTTAAAATTGAATATATTCGCGTAGTTCCTATCAAATAAGATAATTGTAAAATTTATAAGAAAAATTGCTTTGCAGTACGGGGAGGGGAGAAAGGTTTAAGGTATAAAATTATGCAAACCTGGAATAAGACAGTCAAAACTTTAGAAAAAGTAAACAAACTGTTAATTAAAACATAAACAAATTCAAAAGCTTAAAAGTTAAAGTGGAATGGATTAGTTGAATTCTCACACATTTTACTCTTAACCCTAAATAGGCTGGATTGGGGGGGGGGGCGTTAAATACTGTGACATCACTGTGACATTTTGTAACTTTCAAAAAAATTGAAATTTATAGGATTTTACCAAAAAACCTTTTTTTTAATGCAAAGGGTAGGGTCCAATAACTTTTTGTGACTAGAGCTACAGATCTAAAAACTATATTTTTGAAAAGCCCGTGAAAAAATTGGGCTATACACATGCACTTCAACCCTATACATATTCTCTAAGGCCTTTTTATGGAACGGGGGGCGTAGGACGCCCCCCACCAGGCTTAAAATAGATTCAGTTAAAGGGACTGAAATTCCCGATTCCCAACGGCACCCCTTAAACCTTTTTCTGATAAATAATGTGGAAGATATGTTTGTTTTTATAGGTTTAAAAGTGTTTAAGTCTGATAATTTAGATATGTTTTCCTGAAATAGAAATTTGCAGTTACGCCAAACGCCCTCCCCCCCCCCCCCCAGCCTGTTTAGGGTTTAAAATGCGCTTACAGTCCTTTACAGAAGAAAACAACTTAGTATATTTGAAGCCCTTTTTTCAAAAAAAAAATAATTTAATCAGAGTGCTTCGTGCCGTTCTCTTTATTAGGTAAAAACAATGTTGAAACACATGGAATATTGTTTTTATTTTCAGAGACAAATTGCTCGTGTTATTGAATGCCAGTTTTGGTAGTTAAATATAAAGACTTCATCAAGACATTCAATTTCTTCATTCCAGGAAATTTCCAATTTTTAGGACTCTTTTCATTTATCAACCCTTGCCCCCAGCAAACAGAAACTCGAGTTAAACTTGAGATGTGTGGTTGAGTTTCAAGGTGGAATTTTCGCCTGTAAAAGTTGTGGCATGTCTGGGTTATTTAACTCGAGTTTTCACCATGTTGAGCCTGGGCTCCAAAAAAAAAATGAAAAAGAAAAATAAGAAAATTACAAAGAAGAACAAGAACAAGAAGAAAAAGAAGAAGAGGAAGAAGAAGAAAACTAAGCAAAAGAAAAGGAAAGGTTTAATGCAAACAACAAGAACAAGAACAAGAACAAGGACAACAACAACAACAACAAAAACAACAAGAACAAGAACAAGAACAAGAACAAAAACAACAACAACAACAACAACAACAAGAAAAGAAAAAAAGGAAGAAGGAAGGAAGAAGAAGAAGAAGAAGAAGAAGAAAAAGAAAAAGAAGAAAACTAAGAAAAAGAGAAGAAAAGGTTTAATGCAAAAAGTTTGATGATGCTGCAGTCATTACATAACAGTTTGAGATAATATGTGGCTAGGGGGGCTGGGGGAGGAAGATAAAGACAAGAGAAAGAAATCTTCTATCCCGGAAAAAAATACTAAACATTTTATTTTATTCTATAGAGGGATTTTTAAATATTTTAAATGACAAAGTTTTGAAACAGAACTTTTTTTTATAAGAGGATAAAATTTTAAGAAACAAAAATAATATTCTTTAAAAAATTAAAGTAAATAACTGTTAAGAGTGTTTTCAAATTAAATGGTTCTTCACTAGATAAAATTTCTCCGGCGGCTCAGTGCAAGATATGAAAATGAGAAAATATTCTAAATTTGTATTTCATTTTATTTGCTTGAATACAAAGAAAAATTATGCTTGGCTTTTATTCAACATTTACATATAAAACGGAGATACGTCTCATGGGACCACAGCTAACAAACAAACAAAACAAGTTTACATTTTCTTCAGAATAATCCAAAGGTTATATTGTTTTGCAATTTGCAATTTATTATTCGATAAATACAGAACCATTCGATTTTTTTGTCTTGAGATATTGAACTATAGGTTGAAATTTAAACTGCGCTGCGTCTCTGTTTCAATTCCTCCTTTTTCCTCTAGAGTAATTAAATTTTTCATCTAGAGTAATTAAATTTTTCATCTAGCGTAATTAAATTTTTCATCTAGAGTAATTAAATTTTTCATCTAGAGATTTTTCATCTAGAGAGTAATTAAATTTGTCATCTAGAGTAATTAAATTTTTCGTCTAGAGTAATTAAATTTGTCATCTAGAGTAATTAAATTTTTCATCTAGAGTAATTAATTTTTTCATCTAGAGTAATTAAATTTTTCATCTACATCTAGAGTAATTAATTTTTTCATCTAGAGTAATTAAATTTTTCATCTAGAGTAATTAAATTTTTCATCTAGAGTAATTAAATTTTTGTTACTAAAAAACTGGGGAGGAAAATTTTGTTTCAATTTTGCCATAAACATTCCTGCTGTCAACATAAGTATATATTATATATATCTTTTTCTTTCTTAAAAAACCGTTAGAGAAATTTAGAAAATTCATAATTTTGTTGTAAAATATGTTTATTAACTGATGAGGATCGAGAGATCTGAAACAATTTGTATTAATTTTTATACATACACACGAATAACAACCTGTAATGAAAACACTAAGCCCCAAATGAAAAAAGATGCTAGCTCAAGTAGGACTAAATTTAGTTCATAGAAACATTTGCTCATTTTATTTCGAAGGAAAAGGGTTCTAAAACTTTAATTTCTCGATCGAAAAAAAAACAAATACAACAAAAATTGTTTATTTCTGTAAAATTGTTTATAATTATTATTGTCAGCTAAATATGAATAACTATTGATAAAACTGTTTTTATTCTATTATGATTTGATTATTATTTACTACGAAAATATAAAGAGTGCAGTACAACATTAAAGTACAATTTTATCACAACATCAATTCATTTCAAAATTTGATAATAAAGATCTAAAAAGATACACCAAAAAATTGTGTCTTTGCCAAAAACTGAAATGTTTAAATATTTTCAACGTTATGGCGTAAACCTTTAAAAATTCAAACTTAGATTATTTGATTTAACCGAGTTTATAGTTTAAAATAACTAAGTTCTCCGTCATTAGGTTGCAAAGATAAAAGGATTAGAAAATCAGAATTTATGGCAAAAACTCAATTTCTTTTAGTTTGCAAAAAATTGTTACGAAGTTTCTGGGTTTGAAAGAAAACAACACTGCGTCTGAGTAGCACGGGATTTGTTTACAGTGATATCCAGAAAACTCTGAAATAGGAAGACGACTTTTAGAATAAAGTTATGACTTTAGATAGTTCAATGATCATGGGATACAGCAATTATGCTGTGTATTTGCTTAATAATAACATCACATACACGTGTATTTGCTAAATAATAACATCAAATACACGTGTATTTGCTTAATGATAACATCAAATACACGTGTATTTGCTTGATAATAACATCAAATACACTTGTATTTGCTAAATAATAACATCAAATACACGTGTTTTTGCTTAATAATAACATCAAATACACGTGTATTTTCTATTTCATAGTTTCTAGGCTATCACTGTGTATTTTCTTTAATTTAAAAGAAATCATTTTTGATAACTAGATAAAAATTCACTTATGTGTACAGAAGAAAGAAATGTATTAAAGGTAAGGAGAATAATTTTCCAATAATGATTTTCTTGGTATAACAAATGATTTTAAGTAAAAAAAGATTACTACATATATCACACTAATTATAAAATTCATTATTTTTAGGTCATCAGAGTTCGAATTTAATGAATTTTAGCCGCGTCTCAAAGCCCCCCAAAACACGTTCAATTGAGCGCCGGCCTAAATCTTGAAAAACTGAATACAATTTTAAGTAAAACCAACAATATTTGAGCCGCGGCTTAAATTCTTTTCGGCCGAATTTTACTTTTTTTAGCAGGTTACACAGTTTGTTTTATACTTCAGACTATTGTTTCATTCTTTAAGAAATAAAGAGACTCAATGTTTCTCTTTTCAAGATTTCAGTTTCAGTTTAAAAGAAATTATTTAACTTTGACAACTGATTACCCGCGTCAAACTCTAATCTACAAATGAGGATATATGTTCACTCTGATGGTGTAACCCCTTGACGAATTGATAAGCAGAATTAGTAGTTTAGAAATTAGAGTTTGAAGCAAGTTATCAGATACTTAGACCCAGAAGGTTCTTTTGCTGTAGATTTAGTATGTGTTTTGGACTTTCATAAGATTTTCAGTTGAATAGTAAACTGGATAACGAGCTTTTTCCAGCTTTATAGCACTACTGTATGTGTACTAACTCTAAGATAGCCAAGTTTTACAAGGACTTTTTTCTTGTTTGAATAAATGCACTTTTTATGTTGACTTCATACAGTTTTATATTTGTAGATATATGTGTTTCTTGAAAAAAAATTTTTTTAAATGCCATTAAGGAGCATGGTAAACAGATTGTTTTTTTTATTTTGTTGTTTTTCTCCATTTTGATCAGAATTTTGTACACATAACGTGCAACAATTTTTTTGTTCAAATATAACACAAATTCGAAGAACTGTTTTTTTAAAGTATACATTCAAAACAACAGGTGAATCTAATATTCTTAGAAATACCCAGATATTTTTGTCTTTTTAATTGACAAAACATAGACTCGTTATCTTTGTCTCATTCTATCAACTATTAACGATGTCAGAGAGTCTGCTCATCCGAACCCATTTTCACTCTCAATAAAATATTGATTTTTATACTTTTCATTCGGTATAAATATAATTGTTCAGTGAAATATATTCCTCATTAGTTTGGGTGCCCGTTCGAGAATTGGGAATAATCTTGACAATTGTAGTTCCAATTAATGTCTACCAAATGCCATGATTACGAAGGCTAGGGCTTGAAGAAGGATAGATGGGTAGTATATTCTCATGCCATTGGATAATACACGTTTCCATTCTAAGTCATGAGCTACTGGAGCTGAAATAATAGAAAACAATTTTAATAACAATAAAAAAAATCTTAGATTTAAAACCAACACAATGCAGAAGTTTATGAGGGTAAACCCAAATACTCCTTCTAGCTGCAGCGTAAAGCATTTACAGTCAGACCCATTCTTCCTATGCAGCGCTGCCATTAAAAATGCTGCGCTAGGAGGTTAGTATAAGGTATACCCAAATTCAAAGGCTTGGCAGCACTTTAATGTCGGCTAAAAGTCGAGTCTTTGCTTAAGCTCTCCTTGGGCGTAAATAGACTGAAATAGTGGTTTAATTGGGTTTAAACTTTGGTCTTCAATTGAAAAACAAAAATTTAAGCAAACAATTTACCTGGTCTAGAAGTAAAAAAAGTAAACAAACGGCTGGGTTCGCTCCAACCAAACCGGTTTCTGGCTTGAACCAAACATTCGTATTCTGCATCTTCCACTAATCCTGAAAATCAAAAAAAAGATGTAAAATTTTGAATTTAATTAAAATTATAATTAATGCATCTTTATTTTTATTCATGATGTACTTTCAAAAGAAGAAACTTAAAAAAAAAAATCAAAGCTTACGCCTGCAGATCAGGTTTAGCTACAGAAACTGATGGTGTATCTTATACTTTTTTAAGCGTTGGTTATAAAATAGATATAGCAGCATATATAGTTAAAAAAAGGGGCTAGAATATAATGATTCTGAAATAGATATAGCAGCATATATAGTTAAATCAAGGGTCTAGGATATAATGATTATAAAATAGATATAGCAGCATATATAGTTAAATCAAGGGTCTAGAATATAATGATTATAAAATAGATATAGCAGCATATACAGTTAAATCAAGGGTCTAGGATATAATGATTATAAAATAGATATAGCAGCATATATAGTTAAATCAAGGGTCTAGGATATAATGATTATAAAATAGATATAGTAGCATATATAGTTAAATCAAGGGCCTAGGATATAATGATTATAAAATAGATATAGCAGCATATATAGTTAAATCAAGGGTCTAGGATATAATGATTATAAAATAGATATAGCAGCATATATAGTTAAATCAAGGGTCTAGGATATAATGATTATAAAATAAATATAGTAAATCAAGGGTCTAGGATATAATGATTATAAAATAGATATAGCAGGATATATAGTTAAATCAAGGGTCTAGGACATAATGATTATAAAATAGATATAGCAGCATTAATAGTTAAATCGAGGGTCTAAGATATAATGATTATAAAATAGATATAGCAGGATATATAGTTAAATCAAGGGTCTAGGACATAATGATTATAAAATAGATATAGCAGGATATATAGTTAAATCAAGGGTCTAGGATATAATAATTATAAAATAGATATAGAAGCATATATAGTTAAATCAAGGGTCTAGGACATAATGATTATAAAATAGATATAGCAGCATGTATAGTTAAATCAAGAGTCTAGGATATAATGATTATAAAATAGATATAGCAGCCTATATAGTTAAATCAAGGGTCTAGATAAAATAATTATAAAATAGATATAGCAGCATATATATAGTTAAATCAAGGGTCTAGGATATAATGATTATAAAATAGATATAGCAGCATATATATAGTTAAATCAAGGGTCTAGGAAATAATGATTATAAAATAGATATAGCAGCATATAATAGTTAAATCAAGGGTCTAGGATATAATGATTATAAAATAAATATAGCAGCATATATAGTTAAATCAAGGGTCTAGGATATAATGATTATAAAGTTAAAAATCGGGGAAGTTTTCCGTTCTTAAAAAAATTATCTTTGGTAACTTAGCTGTGAGCATTTTTGTTTGTTTTTGGGGGTGGTCCCTTCTTGTAGTCAATGCCCGATTCACAATGGTCCCGTAATACCTATTCCTGATCAATGACGTGGAAGATATTATCACAATTAAAAAATATCAGTTTTTAAATATTAAAAACACAAATATCTATTTCATACGTGACCTGCCATAGCTTTTAAGGGAAGGGTTATGTGAATCGGCAGTGCTATCTTAGCAAGGAGGGTCTCATAACAGTACCTTTAACCTTAGTTCTAAATATTATAAAATTAACCTGAAATCTGGTAGAATTTTAGGTGGTTGAAACCTTGGTGACCGGGTTCTCCAGGTATTATAACATTTGTCCAGTCTCCTTCTCCCATTGGATAGTTAGCATCAAGGGGCTAAACATAGGATAGTTAATATCAAGGGGCTAAACATGGGATAGTTAGCATCAAGGGGCTAAACATAGGATAGTTAGTATCCAGTGGCTAAACATAGGATAGTTAGTATCCAGTGGCTAAACATAGGATAGTTAGTATCCAGTGTCTAAACATAGGATAGTTAGTATCAAGGGGCTAAACATAGGATAGTTAGTAGTATTGTGTGTGCATAGATTATAGAGACGGTAAAAAGTTGTCACTTAATCATCATGTTTATTGGATCAGCCTGTAATTTTAATATAATAAGACCTACCCCATGATATGGTTTAATCTTCCTGTATAGAAGTCTATGTTCCTCTATGGGGGAGTAACTGTCCACGCTCCAGGATAATAAATACATCTAAATAAACAAAATTAAATCAACATTAAACCAGAAAATGAGCAAAAAAAATAAATGCATACATTTAGTTTTCTAGACTCCCACACTCATTATTCGGTCAAAAAATGGGGCAAAACAGAAAAATTTTCTTACAAATTTTTAACTTTAATGTCCAATCCTTAAAATCTGAGTAAAAATTAAGAAGATATCTCTAAAAGTTTTCACTCTGACAATTTTCATCACTTTCGCTTCTGAATAAAGCCACTTAAGTACCATTAATGGTGAAACTAAGATTAAAAATAATTTTTTAGTAATAAATACAAGAATATGATATTCATCCATGATAAAACAACGGTTTGACTTCTCGGACACACCACTTTTTAAACTGATTGATCAGTTTTTTTCTCGCATTTTATCTGATGCTTAGAAAAAAATTTAAACTCATATTTGTTATTCATTTGCAGATCTAAAACCAAGTTTTGTATATATTACTTAATATTTAAACCGTTGCTCCTGATATACTTTTAGATTAATACAATTTCATAATTTATTTATTTATATTTTTGCTGTTTTGAATTTGCAGTATAGAAAATCATGAGTAGACATATACAATATAGATTATGGCTACCCTATAATTTCTTGATCCTATTTGTAGGAAATTGTAATTTTATTTCATGTTCTCTCTCTGCGGCCAATATCATCATTAGAAGAAGAGATTACTAAGCTTTTTCATCCCCCAGCTTTCCCACAAATAATCGGTAGAACAATGAATTCACTTCTTAGTTGTGAAGAAGAAGAAATCATTAATCGGTTAACATCAAATGTAACATCGTATGATTTCATCGTGTTTTTACAAACTATAAACGTATATTTTTCAATTTTTGATAAATTACATATTTACTTTTACAGGACGAAACCAATAGTATAGAATATATATTAACCCTATCTCGTTTTTACTCCTTCTTTTGTGTTTTTTATCCATATCTTAAAAATGACAATATTTAGTCTAACATTTTAAGCTTTGATTTTATTTTAATACATTTAACCCTATCTCTTCTGGGGTACTTGAAAACCAGGATATGCTGGGGAAAGCAGCCAGGCAGGCAGTGGGCCTGAGGACTCAGGCAGTTAGTATTAAAGCCCAGTTTTAGGTCTAAAGGAAGGGCTTTGGGTATGGAGGAAAAGTCAGAAAATTTCAACAGCCTCAGACCAATACTTTTTGAGTTATGTAAAAAAAACTACAAATTTATTTGATTTATTCTATTTAACAGTAATTTGAAATAAGATGAATTTTTTCCATTTTTTATAACATGTTTTCTTTATTCAAATGTTTCATATTTACAAAAGCTTGGTAGAATTAAAATAAAAGTTTTCTTGATTATCTCCAAGCTTTAACCATAATACTGGAAAAAACTAGTATTTTCCGCAAGAAAATTCTTCTATTACCCTTATTCAATTTTTTAAAATGATTCGTTCTTCTTAAACTTCCTGATTTGTCCGGAAAATCTTAATTTAGACCGATTGATGATTTAATATGATGTGGGACACCCTGTAGCCAGGATGACCACCTGATTTGTGACTTTTTTAGAAATCAGCCAGCCGCCCAACTGAGGAAATTTGGAAATTTCATGCGGAATTAAGATTCGAAAACCATTTTTAAAAATATTAAAATCTAAAGAAGTTATGGCCAAATGATGGTAGTAAATTCAGGTTTTTTAACTTGTTAATGTTTTTGATGATTTTTTTAGCTCTAACTCACTCAATTTTCAATTTTTTTAAAACGCTTTTCAGATTTGAATTCAGCAATTAATTTCCAAGAAAATGATGTGAAAACACAGTGACCTCCAGTGGGTGGTTGGCTCAATTCCAATATTGATCCCCTTTAATGTATATTACCTGGGGTTGGTTTGTGTTAGGCTCAGATCTAAAAACAGGCGAAGTCGGACGCCCATGAACTTCAATATGTTTTCTAAACATTATTTTATTTTATTTTATATTCCCGATTCACAATTCGGTACCCTTTAAACATTAATCTGAGGCCGACTTTAAAGAATTTGAGCCGCGACTTAAATTTAAACCACGGCTCAAGTATGGTTGGTTCCACTTAAAATTGTATTTAATGATTAAAGATTTAAGCCGGCGCTCAATTGAAACCGGTTTTTGGTGGAATTGAGACTCATATTCATTAAATTCTGACTCGGATCGATTTTTCAAAATATATCGAAATTTTTTGTTCAATTATCACAATTTCAGTCTTTGTTTTTGTGTATTATATATTCACAAGTCACTTTTGCAGAGAAACCACAATTTAAAATGTTCAACGTTAATAACATTCATATCTCATTCATATTGAAATAAGATGGCTAAGTAATCAATGAATAAAAACCATCGAGGAAATTACTGGAAGGGTTTTGTAATGAATCCATCATAAAAGTTTTTAAATGCATATATTTGAAAATTAGGATAAAAACGCATTTCTAACATAATTCATCTTTTAAAAACCGAAAGCAGTTGAATTGACAATTTAATAATTCTGAATTTTAAAATATATAATAATAATATCATTACTTGAATGTTCCCATAGAGTTCTCTGCTACACAGGAATAGTTGCCGAAGTCTAGACCAGATCTGATACTACTGAACATAGAATTTTATCTAGAATACCAGATCTGATACTACTGAACATAAAGTTTTATCTAGAATACCAGATCTGACACTACTGAACATAGAGTTTTATCTAGAATACCGGATCTGATACTACTAAACATAGAGTTTTATCTAGAATACCAGATCTGATACTACTGAAAAATGTTTTTGTTTTTCTAGAATACCAGAAATTAAAAATATGTTGATGTAAACAATAGTCTAAAATTCAAATTGAAGTTGTTTTTCACTTTACAATGTTTTTATTGTAAATCTTTTGTAAAGAATGATCATATAAAACTGTTCAATAGGATATGGCCGTTTCTAAAATGGAATGATTATTATATTATCATAAGAATAATCTTAGAGGAACTTTTTTTAAGTGCAAGGTGCGTCACATCACATAAAAACAGCCTACCTTAATATAAGGGTGTGTCTGTCATTACTGTTTGCAAAGCTTACAGAACTAGATTCAGACAGTAAACTGGTTTCTTTATACCAACGAACCTTAGAAAAGTATAGTAATAACAACTGTACAACAGAATAGTTATTGTCTGAAATTTTACAGCAAATAATCATCCAAGACTAACAAGAGTGAATTGCATTTGGTTTCTTCAATTTGTAATATTATTTATCAATTTTCAAAGAGTAAATAGAAATAATAAACACAAATAATAAAAATGGTATATAAAACGTTGCGTAAATTTGTTATGCATAACTTGCACAATTTGCTTTGTTTAGGCTCTCAGAAAAATCATAAAATAATAGAATTCGGAAAAATTGTTAAAAAAAGGAAATACTTACAGTTGGGTTTGGGTTTCCTTTTACTATGCAGGTTAAATGTGCTTCCTTACTTTCTCCAGAGTGAACCTTGTTGGTTGACAATTCTATCTCAGGAGGATCTACAACCATTCATATTATCAGTTACAACTATTGGTTTACAATAATATCTCAGGAGGATCTGCAACCATTCATATTATCAGTTACAACTATTGGTTGACAATAATATCTTAGTGGGGTCTGCAAACCTTCATATTATTATTAGTATCAACTATTAGTTGACAATTATATCTCAGTGGGATTTGCAAGCATTCATATTATCATTTGCAACCATTGGTTGACAATTCTATCTTAGGGGGATCTGCAACCATTCTTATTATCAGTTACAAGTATTGGTTGACAAAAATATCTTAGTGGGGTCTGCAAACATTCATATTATTAGTTACCAATTGGTTGACAATTTTATCTCAGGGGGATCTGCAACCATTTTTATTATCAGTAACAACTATGTATTGGTTGACAATTATATCTTAGTGGGGTCTGCAAACATTCATATTATCAGTTACAACTATTGGTTGACAATAATATCTTAGTGGGGTCTGCAAACATTCATATTATTAGTTACAAATTGGTTGACAATTCTATCTCAGGAGGATCTGCAATCATTCATATTATCATTTACAACTATTGTTTGACCTTTCTGTATCTTAATGATCATTTGTTTATAAATATGATTTTTCATAATATTTATTTCGTCTTATAAAGATTAATATTTCCAAAGCATAAATATATATTTTTGCTTTGTAAAAACTGTTGCTTTAGTCCAATATTAGATATTCTAGATAAAAGCTGGAGCAAGCCAAAATATTGATGAGTTTTACAACTTTTCTTTCAACTTTTTCTTTTATATTTATTCAATCCTACATCTGCCATAGTAGTATCATTGCCAAGATTAAAAAAAAACAGTTTCAAAAAAACAAAACAAAAAAAATAAAGAAAGTTATCCTCAAATCTAAAAAGCAAACATTAATTTCAAAATCAAGGAAACATTTTAAAAGGTTAATACCCCCGAAAAACAAGCCTCAGATTAGAAATAAAAATGAAGCCAGCATTTGATATATATAAATTTAAATGTAAAAAATGCCACTGGCAATGCCAATTAAAAAAAAACAATTCAGAAATTAGGATAGGCTGATCTAAAAGAATTGAGTTTATGCCACAAATCAGGCCATCCCAAATAAAAAATGAATAAACATAATATTAAAATTAGCCAAAATATAAAAATAAAGACAAAAATAGGCATAAAGAATATAGGAATCAAAGCTGTAGTTGCTCTTTTTTCTCAAATCCTCTCTCTTCCATAAGCAATTTTAGCATTTAGTATACTCTCGTAATGATTCCATTTTTTTATTTTGATCGCTCAATTTTTACATTTTTCTTTTTCACAGAGAAATGTTTGTTTGTTAAATGAAAGTATTCTGTATAGAAGATAGTTATAGTTTCTCCTTTTCTCCTGCTCTCTCAGCAAACTTTAATTAGAAAACATCTACAAGAGGAAGGAAACTTAGATGCTAAAGCTAAATGAAACCAATTTAAGGGAAACAAGAAAAATGCACAAACTCCATCTTAAAACAACATTATTTTGTAATCTAGAGAAAGAAATTAACGAAATGAAAAAACTTGCTTCTCTGTTTTGCATTTTATAAAATTTAGGTTTTTGAGAAACATTTTGTTTTAGGCCGGGAGGGAAAAAAAACTTTTAGTTTGTGATAGCGCTTACTAAAATTGATATCTACAGACAACAGTGTTTTTTTTATTAAATGGCTTAAGTTAAATACCGCGGGGATATACTGGAAATCCACCAAAAGATAATTAAAATATTATTCAAAGATGGGATATAATATAAAAAGCTGTTTATTCATTAGACAAAATATTTAAATAATACTTACATAAAACCTGAAGATTGATTTCTGCCTCTGCAGAATGACCCACTCCATTCATAGCTGTACAGATATACACTCCCCGGTCATTCTGTACATTTATAAATTTAATACATTATTCCTAGCTGTACAGATATACACTCCCCGGTCATTCTGTACATTTATACATTTAATACATTATTCCTAGCTGTACAGATATACACTCCCCGGTCATTCTGTACATTTATAAATTTAATACATTATTCCTAGCTGTACAGATATACACTCCCCGGTCATTCTGTACATTTATACATTTAATACATTATTCCTAGCTGTACAGATATACAGTCCCCGGTCATTCTGTACATTTATACATTTAATACATTATTCCTGGCTGTACAGATATACACTCCCCGGTCATTCTGTACATTTATACATTTAATACATTATTCCTAGCTGTACAGATATACACTCCCCGGTCATTCATTACATATACATTTAATACATTATTCCTGGCTGTACAGATATACACTCCCCGGTCATTCTGTACGTTTATACATTTAATACATTATTCCTAGCTGTACAGATATACACTTCCCGGTCATTCTGTACATTTATACATTTAATACATTATTCCTGGTTGTACAGATATACACTCCCCGGTCATTCTGTACATTTATACATTTAATACTTTATTCCTAGCTGTTCATGTGTACACTCCCCGGTCATTCTTTACATATACATTTAATACATTATTCCTAGCTGTTCATGTGTACACTCCCCGGTCATTCTGTGCATATATACATTTAATACATTATTCCTAGTTGTTCATGTGAACACTCCCCGGTCATTCTTTACATATACATTTAATACATAATTCCTAGTTGTTCATGTGAACACTCCCCGGTCATTCTTTACATATACATTTAATACATTATTCCTGGCTGTTCATTTGTACACTCCCAGGTCATTCTGTACATTCATACATTTAATACATTATTCCTGGCTGTTCATGTCTACACTCCCAGGTCATTCTGTACATTTATAAATTTAATACATTATTCCTGGCTGTTCATGTGTACAATCCCCAGTCATTCTTTACATATATACATTCATTACATTATATCTAGCTGTTCATGTGTACACTCCCCGGTCATTCTTTACATAAATACATTCATTAAATTATATCTAGCTGTTCATGTGTACACTCCCCGGTCATTCTGTACATTAATACATTTAATACATTATTCCAGGCTGTTCATGTGTACACTCCCCGGTCATTTTTTACATATACATTCAATACATTATTCCTGGCTGTTCATGTGTACACTCCCCGGTCATTCTTTACATATACATTCAATACATTATTCCTAGCTGTTCATGTGTACACTCCCCGGTCATTCTGTACATTAATACATTTAATACATTATTCCTGGCTGTTCATGTGTACACTCCCCGGTCATTCTTTACATATACATTCAATACATTAATCCTAGGTTTTTAATCTTTAATTTGTATCCCAACATCTATGTTCAAGCCAAAACAATAATAATCTATTTCATGTTCTTTTAATAAAATCGCTTACCTTAGCAATTGACTGAATAACAAGAGTTTCTCCGAATATTTTCATCTCGTCTCCAGGCAGCCTTCCTCCCTGCACACAGTTAGTGCTGTCATTTGTTTTCAATGAAACTTTCAAGATTTCAAAACTTTTATAATTCATACAACACACTTAATTTTATCATAAAAAAAAAATCCAAGACGGTCGAACAAATTTCCGAATGTGGCTGAAACGTAGACAAACTCTTATTTTATTCATCAGCCATCATCTTAAAATATCTTGCTCAAATTGAAAGCTGAAAAATCTAAAGTTCTTTATCTGAAAGAAAATTTAAATTCAATTTTAAAAATAAAATTTGATATTTGGCGAAGTTTGGACCACATGGGTTTCCTTTATCATTTAGTTGGTAGTTTTCTCAAGATTTGGGGATTTATTTTCAGATTCAGGATTCAGTTGATTTAACAACAGTTATATGAATACAAACATTAAAGGGACTGTAAACTTATTTTGAATGACTCTCCGTTTCAAGATTGATATGTCCGCTTCAAGAGTGATATGTCCGCTTCATAGCAGTACAATTAAAATATTAGAATTACTGAGTTATCCGTTTTTTGCTCTTTGAAAATTGTATATTTATATTTTCTTCTTCTCCAGAAAATTCACTTGCGGATTTGTGTAGCAGAAACAATGAAAGATTTAATCAGAGTTAAACACTTATCAAAGTTAAAACGAACTTATATTCCAAAGTTTTATGACACACATATTAAATCGAGGATGCTAAATTCTAAAATCTAAAATTCTAAAATCTAAAATCTAAAATTGGAGGGTATCGTGATACGTCAGTCCCTTCCAAGGGGGGATGATAGTTCTCTACCTGTGTGCTCAGTTAGCTGAACTGTATACACTTACAACTGTTTACTAATATTGATATACTATAGGTTAGGCCAGAATCAATTTATTATAAACAAATATGCAGTACGCTGTCAGTATAGTTCATGGCGTATAAAATTAGTAAAGGAGTAATGTACATCATCACTCTATACACTATAACCTCGTTGGTCCCTTCATATAAGCTGAACTAAATTATTTCGTAGAAATGTTAATTGGACTTACAAAAAGCGTTTGATTTTTCAACGATGTCTATAGTTCCGAAATAATATAAATTATTTTAATTCTATAATTACTCTTTGTATTTTGGTAGATTTAATGATAATTCTTTCAAGTGTGTCTGGGAAAACAGACAATCAATTCACCCTTAGGTATTAAACATTTGCATTAACTGTTTGGATCAGACGCTGTGGGAAAGATGAAACAACATTGAATTGGAGATCATTTTTTTGAATTCTTCAATTGCACAGCACTGTAGAGAGTAAAATGAGGAAAGGAGGGATGATACAGATTAAAATCTACAAAAATGACTTTTACCTTTTTCGTCCACTCGACCTCTGGCAAAGGATTTCCTGAGGCGGAGCACTTGAGCTCCACCCTTCTGTCCTTCTTCACAACATAGTTACCATCAGAAGGCTCAGCTCTAACACTCGCAGGAACTAAAATTGAAAATATTAATAACTAAAATTTATTTCGAACAAAGCAAGTTTCTATTTTATAAACTACTAGCCGAAGTGCCCGACCTTGCCCATGGACTTTAAGAAATACTTAAAAAAAAAATTCGATATTTCAAAAAATTAAAAATTTTGTAGCCTAATTTACCCTGGGGTACTTAAGGGTTCCCTTATAAAATGTCAGCCCCTACAGTCCATCCGTTTGCCAGCTATAGCTCATTTGTATATAAATATATGAGTGAAGAGCTTTATTATATATATGTAACAAAAGATGAAAGAAGATGAAAACTGTTTATTATAAAGGGGTGACAAGTAGTGCTGAATATTTTTAATATTACAAACTTTTTTAGTAAATAAAACAGCTAAACTCAACCCGAAATTTTTTCTACTGGTTAAAGTATATAGGGGGAATATCTTGGTCGTATGGAGGGTGGGGGGAGGGGGAATCTTGCGCAGTGAGGAATAGTAGGGTTAGAAGGGCTGGGGAATTTGGCAGGATAAGGGAGGGTACGATTTGTCCACCATTAGTCCTATTAGCAAGCTTCCAAGGAAATCTTACCAATCTCATTTACAGTTTAGTATTATACAGAAACTGGGTTTTTTACCTTCATGCCGATCTAATCAGTTTCAATAAAAATTACGCATTAAATCAACTATTGAGATCGAGTTGACTTTAAAGGGACTGTAACCGTAATTTTAAGCTATGTCAGTAATACAAAAAGCTAAATAATGATGTTTAAAATTTTTGAATGATCATTGAGGACTAAGTTTGACAATTTACTTTTTATTTCGAAAAAACTCCATGTTTAAAAAAATGCTATCTTTGAAAATCAGATTTGTCACTTGAAATTTTGCCTTTAAATTCAGTCATTTCTTTATCTAGCTTAATGGATTTTTTACATACAATTCTTATTTATCTTTTACAGAATTATCAAATGCATTAATTGAACAATATTCTTTATATCGAGTACATTAGTGATATGGGTAGGTATATATATATATATCTGAAAGGGTGTAGAGGTATAATGTATCAAGATTCATCCATCATTTTCAGACTTATATAGTTTATTTATGCAGAGGGCAGTGCCAACTTATAGTCTTAGATACTTCAGGGGGGAGAGGGNGGGGAGAAGGCGGGAGAACCACCTGGAAGGGGCGGCCATTGACTTTTGTTTAGGAAAAAAATGCTGCTCCATTAACCAAGATTTTTCTTATTTTTGCCTGTACTGTAATAAATGTTTCACTAAAAATATAAAATACAAATTACCACCAAGTTCTTTTTAATATGTTTACTAAAGATAGTTTGTTCTGGTTTTTATACGACAATGATGGCTTAAAATTAAATAGTTAGTTCAGAGCAGTTGAGTAGTAAACATCTCTCTGTAAGAGTGTTTTAGGCAGTTCACACTACTTTCTCAATTCAAGCCTTACACACAATTTAAAGTAAATTCACAGAAATCTGGAAGATTCTAGATATAATCTGGCTTTCGTCAATCTTGTGGCGAAAATGGGGCCAAAACCCAAAAAATCCTTGGATAATTCTTTAAATACTTCCTTGGAGGAAATGGATAGTGAGACCACTGTAAAGGAACAAGCCAGTCATCAAGGCTTCCTTTATAAAGATACAAGATCTGGGAAAATAATTCTAGTTGATGGGATTTTAGTATCAATGTTTTATACTTTTGATAGAGGTGCTGATAAAACCTGTTTTCAGTGTCCGAATTTAATGAATTTAAGCCACGTCTTAAATTCGCCAAAAACCGGTTTCAATTAAGCGCCGGCTTAAATCTTGAAACATTGAATACAATTTTAAGTGAAACCAACCATATTTGAGCGGCGGCTTAAGTTTAAGCCGCCGCTCAAATTCTTTAAATTCGGTCTCTGGATACACTTAGTCGAGAGTTCTCCTTGGAACAGATGAAGAACTCTAAATCAAATTTTTATCAAGCTTTTCAACTGCAGGATACAGAGGGAAATATCCAAGAAAAACGAAAGATATCTACCATTTGTCTAGATCTCTGGGAAAGGATATCGAAAATTGATAAAGCTGGGCATGGACATGTTGTGGTGACTGTACCTTTCAATTTCCAAATACCCAAGTTTCCGACAAATAGTGAGTTTAGTGTCAAGGCATTTCAGGACACCTAAAATGCCATGATGGATGAGAGAATGTCAGCAATGAAGAAGTTTATTGCAATGTATCCAGGATAAGGTCAATATCAATCCTGCACCAAGTTTTAAATAGGAGATATTTTTAAAGTACCGACCAGCTCTTCGGTCGTCTTATACCAAACCCTAGACGTTCAACAATAAGTTCAAAAATCCCAAAAATTACTGTTTTTGAAAAACCAAGAAGTTTCAAAGTAATATTGTTAAAAATGAGAGTAATGGCGCAATAAAAAAGTGTGGGGCGTCCAACGCCCCCCCCCCCCTCTATCGCCAATTTATGGTTAATGCCATAATTAAAAAATTGAACCCCAGGATCAACTTTTCGAGGGTTCAACGTCTACGAGGTTTTCAGTCATAATTAAGAGAAGAAGACAAATTAAAAATAAATCCTACGGCATCAGGTTTGAGATATGAACATCCTATGGCATCAGGTTTGAGATATGAAGATCCTATGGCATCAGGTTTGAGATATGAACATCCTACGGCATCAGGTTTGAGATATGAACATCCTACGGCATCAGGTTTAAGATATGAACATCCTACGGCATCAGGTTTGAGATATGAACATCCTACGGCATCAGGTTACAAACATATAAGGATTTTAAAAGTGTAGTTTGGTGTAGTTTGAGATGAGTAATCAGTTCCTTCACAAATTGTTTTTGAGAATAGTTTTATGGAAGTAAGAAGATTGATATTAGTGTGGAAGGAAGGGCAAGAGAGAGTTCCAACTTAAAGAGACAAATTGTTTCCTCGTGTCAGGCTTTTAATGTAAAATGTCAAACAGTTCATCAGTGCTAACTTTCAATGCGTTCATTTGTTACAAATTTTCTTTTTATTGTTATTCTTCTTAAAGCAAGTTCTTTACAGTAAATAGACTATTTATCTTGTTGTCTCATTTTTGTTTAATTAAAAAGCAAATCGTATAGGGTTAAGCATGCTCTGTATTATGGTTAATTAATGACAAATATATCAAGACTTTCTTTTTTCATTCATCTTTCTCCTTGCCAATTATTTTCGATTCTTTCACTTTCCAAATTTGTATCATTTTTTTGTATTCTTTTCGTGTCGGCCTTATCATTTGAAACAGCCTGTATTGACAAGATAGGTACTGACTTCTGATAAAGGTATGTATATGTAAATATAATAATTTACAAAAGTGTTTTATTATTAGTCGAACAAAGTAAACTTTAAAAACATATCTTTTAAACCGTCTAGAAAATTAGTTTTGTTCTCAATTCTTTTTCTCTGAATTGTGATGAATAAACTGGACATATAAATAATTTAACGATAACCTTATCCTCTCTATTGGATTTGGTATTTTGGTATTCTGTTCCCAGAATTGTATGCATGATGTTGGATATACTAGAATACGAAATTAAGCTAACCTAAGCTTTTGTAAATTGCGCAAAGGGCAATGTTTAAAGGGACTGTAAATTGCGCAAAGGTGTTTAAATGGACTGTAAATTGTGCAAAGGACAATGCTTAAAGGGACGTTAAATTGTGCAAAGAACAATGCTTAAAGGGACTGTAAATTACGCAAAGGGCAATGTTTAAAGGGACTGTATATTGTGCAAAGGACAATGTTTAAAGGGACTGTAAATGTTATTTCAAGTGACCCTAAATTCAAAATCATTACATGTTCCATTTCCAATGGTACTGTTTAAATCTTTATTGAACTAACAATGATGAAATGGAAAAGTAAAGTACTTTCCAATTTTTGTCAAACATAGTTTTATAGGTATCGTTTAAGAATTAACTTTATAAATGGGTAGGGAGGGGAAGGGGAGGGGGGGGGGTCATGAAATAAGATCTACAATCCCTTTAACTCTAAGAAATATTCAAATTTTTGCCCCGGTGATGATGTGATGTCTATTAAAAGAAGTATTTTAACTTTTAGAAACGTCAAACACAAAACTTTCTCTGAGTTTGGAAACTCAAAGTTAGAAATATCATCATCAGTTTCAATTAAATTCCAGTCCATGGTGAATACAGAATCAGAGGAAGGAAATATGAATTTTAAAAAAGTTGGTTAATTTTATCTAAGTATCCAGTGGCAGAAACAGGGGGGGTTAAAAATGCCATAAATAATGCTATTTCCATATTAGATTTATTTAAGATCTTAACATACTACATTGACGACAAGAAAATTTTAGAAATTAGAAATAAAAATATAAACAAATACGATATTTTTTCAAAGTTTTGCAGTGTAGCTTTTCTAAAGATTTAAAATAGTAACATATTTTTTCTCTTAGAGTAAAACTATTTTTTATGTTACTTAAAATAAATTCAGTTTTTTACAGTTCTTTGCAGTTAATGTAAAATGAATGACTATAATGATGAAGGATATAAAACAAGGTAACAGCTGAAAGGTATGAAATAAAGCCTTTACCAAACCCAACTAAAACCAATAATTTGACATACATTATGATATTTTTCTAGGGGGGGGGGGGGGTTAAAAAATTCTAGGGGGGGTAAAAAATTAAAATTTAAAAAAATCTACCCCCCCCCTACAGAATCCTTATTTAGGCCCCTGTAAGTATTTTCCATTAATTAGTGATTAAATACATCTGGTGCTGTTTATAATTTAAAGGGATTGTCCAAGTAATTTAATGTGAAGCCCCGTTAGTGTCATGTAAAAAGTGCGGCACACTTTACTCCTTAGTCTGAAAAATGAAGATATCCTTGTTCTACTTTATAAAAATGGATTATTTCCAATTGTAATATCTAGTTTTTAGTCGATTTGAACATTAGTGCATATGAACACCAATTAAATGCATTCTTTTTTTTATGAGTCAAATAAAAGATATATATGCTCTCTCTCAATTTCTCCTCCTAACAATCCTTGTTCAACTGCTTACTTAAATCAAACGTTAGATAAATTTCGATTTTGATTTTAAAAAATGTCAACCATTTTGATTATCAAACTCCTCAAATCGAAAAATGTTAAATCGGTGACCCCTCTTAAAACTCAAATTTATATATTATGACACACAGTTTGGGTCATAAAAAGATCAAAATATCCTATTCATGTAGTTATTTTGCAAATACTTGTGCAAATATTTTGCGGGGACGGGGATATGGTTTTTGCTGAAATAAAGGTTCTCGCAAAACTATGTCGACAGTTTTGTTTTAAAATCAAGCTTGTGTTTTTTGGTAAACTTTTATAATTTCTCTCTTGAATTTGACAAGAAGTCGCGTGGTAGATTTTCAAGGGAAATTGTGTGGAAATTGGTAATCTACAATGATGAAAAGTAGCTGGTATTTGAAGGTTACATATAGAAGTTATATCTATGTTTATGTATATGGTATATGAAGGTCACATAGAAGGTATATCTATGTATAAGTACCTTGTATATGAAGGTTACATAGAAGGTATATCTATGTGTAAGTACCTAGTATATGAAGGTTACATAGAAGGTATATCTATGTGTAAGTACCTAGTATATAAAGGTTACATAGAAGTTAAATCTATGTTTAAGAACCTGGTATATAAAAGTTACAAGGAGGTATATATAATATATAATATATATGTATAAGTACCTAGTATATGAAGGTTATGAGATACACTAACTTCAGGTCCATTAGTGCTCACATAGCAGGTATAGGTTCCTGCATCGCCAGCTTCTAAACTCTTTATGCGTAGATTCTTTTCCACCAAACTTAACAGAGAATAAATACAATTATTAAGTACCTGCATTAAAACAAATGTTTTCTAAAATTTCGCCATTATCTGAATTTGATAGTTATTATATTGTAGTTAGTTTTTGCTTTTTTTTAAATTGCAACAACATTTTTCTGGAGAAATTTGACCGAAAAATCTCTTATTTGAAAAACATTATTATTGAATAATTCTTAGGACGATAAAATATGAAGTTGAATGTAGAGGTAAATTCGATTCTATTGAAAGAAATCTTGAATGACGGGCAAAAACTTTCAGAAACTGAATGAATTCAGAGATGTTTTAAAAATAGCCTAAATAAAACCATTACAGAATTTTAAAAAGAAAAAAATTCAACAGGTTAAAAACTGCAACTTTTAATTAGGAAATATGTTTTTATTATTAAGGAAATATGAAGTGAGATTAAAAACAATGAAACAGGTCGTTTTTAAATTCATTAATTTTATACTTATAAAGCGCTTTATCAATCGTTCTAAATATGATATCAGCTGTTTGTTACTATAAATATGTATCTAGAATTCTTTCCTTTTCATTGTGTTGAAGATCAAAAAATGAGATTTTCGCGGATTCTCCTGTTTTCATTGGAAATTTTCAAACTTTTAAATCTTTTTGAAATGACCGGCCAATAATCAACATTGGGGTCGGTAATTCGGGGCCTGACAAAAAAATGGACCATATCAGTTTAGCCTTTTTTCTACTTTTTTTTTGGATAAAAATAAACCAACCAAAAAAAGAAGAAATGTATATTAAAATATCTAATTGTATACCTAAGCCTTGGATCTGGTTTAACTATCATATCTCCAGCTGTTAGGATCATATGATCATTTTTCCTCCAAAGCACTACAAAACTACCAACATCCTAAACAACAAACTATAGTTATACAATTAATCAAATATTTTCTATTCCGTTTAAAGCTTGAAGGGACAGTAAAGGAAAAATGAAAGTTGGTATAGGCTGAAATCTAAGAAATCTAGACCTATGAGAGTTTTATCTGATGTTCCTGTCTCGTGAAATTGATATAAAACTATGTCAAAATTATACCAAAATTATATATAAGATTCTAAGTATTAAACAGAGCAAATACGCAACAAAGCTGAAAACGACGATATATCCCGAAGGAGCCCGAAATACTCAGGTTTGCTCCTATTATTATTGAATTTAATAATTTTTCATTTTTAATAGATATAATTGATAGGTCCGTATCAAGTGACCAGAACTGCCACCAATTTTCAGTGCAGTATCATTGTCACGTGATACAAACGGAGAATAATTACTTTTTTAGCAAAATCTAGTTATATAGTGAGAAAGTATTAAAAAAATTGCTCAAAACAGGATAAAATTTACATTTTTAAAAAGTCATTTCCCATACCATTTCAAAATATGCAAAAATTTGTGAAAAAGTTTAAATAACCTGATGTTTCAGTAGGAAAAACTAAAAATGTACAAAATTTTTTTTTGATGGGGAATGTGCAAATAGTTTGCAAATTTGTTTGCAAAACTTGTGCAATGTGCTTCCTTTTATGTTCATTTCAATAAAGCTATATAATTTATCAAAATCTGACAATTTAAAGTGGGTCAAAATACATATTTAGTTTCTTATGGGAAAAAGTTATAGTCATTCAGGCAGTGTGCCTTTGGACTCAGGTAGTTTTAGACCTAAAGAGAGGGCTATGAGATTTTGGAAAAATTGTAACAGCTTCAGACAATTACTTTTTGAGTTATGTAAAACACCTATGAGGGGGTGGAGAGATTGAATAGGATAAAAAGGACTGTAATCTTTAACCCTACAGTGGCATATTTCGACCTATCAATTCAACCGTTGCCTTATCATTCATGAATGTATTATCCTTATTTTTCTATTTGAAAATGAAGGGTTACTTGAAATGATAACTTTACCTGAGGATCGCACCACAATGTTACTTCTTCCCCCACCGCCTTCTCATAAACGCTCGTATTCGTGGATATTCTTGGATACAACTGCTTATGATATCCACCCTCAAAGCCAGTAGCTCCTAAAGATTTTAAAAAAATCATTGAATACAACTGCTTATTATATCCATCCTAAAGGCCAGTAGCTTCTAAAGATTAAAAAAAAGCATTAGAAAAAACTGATTATGATACCCATTACCCACCCTAAACTGATTATGATACCCATTACCCACCCTAAAACTCAGTAGCTCCTAATAATTCAAAATTAATTATTGGATACCATTGATTATGATATCCAACCTTAAAATTAGAAGCTCCTAAATATTCAAAATAAATTATTGGATACAATTGATTATGATATGAACCCTATACACCAGTAGGTCCTAAAGATTCTTTAAAAACATTGGATACAACTGCTAATGATATCCAACCTCAAAACCAGTAGCTCCTAATATAAAGATCCTTATGAAGGAACTACTGGCTTCTAAAATTCAAAATATTGGATATAAAGTTTTTTTTTGGTATCCACCTTTACCCATGGATAACAATCATGTTAAAACATTATTGCGATCATAAATATATAACTTATAATATAATATAAATTGTATGCAATCGTTTTGATATCTCGCTCAAAAATAATATAAGAGGCGATAAAAACATTTTATTAATACAACTTCTTTCGTATCTACATAATAATAACTAATAAGATTAAAAACAAACTTACCTTTTCTAATTAATGAAACAAATTGAAACAAATTTTAGAATTAAATGTTTTTATCATTTCTGTTTTTATACCTGAGAGCAGCGTAGTGAGTAAAAGATTGATGGACATAGCCTGATTTTCAAACACAAATCCTTTCATATTTCAACTGAGATCTAGTCTGATTTTCAGTCACAAAACAAGTGCACTTGGCAGCTTATCTTCCATCCTACAACATTAAGATTGAAACTCTCTCAGTTTGAAGTTTTAGATCAAATGATATTTTGAACTTTTATTGAAATTTTAAGGCAATTTAAGAATTTTTTAATAGTTTCATGACTTTAATTTAAATTGCAAAGCCAAGAATATGAGGCTTGGACACATTACAATCAAACTTCATGTAAAATTCTGAATATTTTCAAAAAAAAATTTTTATAAATGGAAGAAAATATGTATATGTTAAGTATATGAACATTGAGGGACAAATTTATAAATGAACTGTCAACTTTGAACAAATTTATAAAACATTTTATCGAGTTAACAAAAGAATATTCAGAGCTGATTAATGCTTCAAAAAGAACATAAAAAAACGTTTTAAACATTATTTATAGTTAAACCATTTTTTTCTTTTTTCATAAAAAATGAAATAAAAATTAAGTTTGCGCGGATAGGATTTGTGAACATTTTTTGTGACATATATAATATAGAAGTTAACAAGGAAGCCAGTCCTACTCTGCCCATGCAAATTCCGATCTTTGTTTACAATCTTTGTTATTGTTTCAATAAAACTAGTTCCGATTCCGAAACAAATTAATTCAGTTTTTGCCACAAACTCTGCTTTTCTAATCCGTACATCTTCACAACCCGAAGTCGGAGTCGACCTTTGATATTTTTAAATATAAATTTTGTTGGATCAAATAGTCTAAACTTGAAATATCAAAGCTTTACACTATCTGGTTGCAAAGATAAAGGGATAAGAAAATTTGAGTTTGTTGCAAAAACTCAATTCCTTTGTAAAAAAATCCATTTTTTAGGATTTTCAAGAAATAATGTTCGCTACTGCAGGGTTACCCACAAAGGATAAGACGTCTTCTGTACGGAATTTATACTGTCTGTTTTCTTATTTATTATTTCCTGCAATTAGAAACTTATTTCTTCCTTTGAAAACTCATTAAATAAGCCTTTTAAATATCACAAATTCATTCTCATCCTTTGTGATTAATCCTGTACATTGGAGTTGTTTGTACCCAATATTGAGTATTCATATCTGCGTGCCTGGAAGAAAATTACAAATATTTGCCATCCTACTGGGTCACGCAGCTTTCATCTTTAATCTATCTATCTATACTTTTGGTACATAGACATTTTTAAAAAGAAATACTTAAGAGAAAGTTTAGTTTTAGATAGAGGATATACAGCACATCATAACATAAGGTGTTTTATACTGAAAGTAGTTTAAATATAGGCAAACTTCAATTTTAAGTGTGAATACGTTTACATATATGACCCACACAATTCCTTTCAGGCAAGGTTTTTAATAAGTGTTAATATCTACCGATTTATAACATTAATATGTAATGTTCTACCTATGAGGCTATTACCAAATCAAAAGTGTTACATTCCAACCTATGGTTTGTTTCAGGCATTACAAGACTCTGCTTAGCACTATTACTAATGTATATTATAAAAAGCTCCAAAACGCCAAAATTTGGATTTTCAGAATTGCTGCCCAAATGACTAGTTTTTTAGAGATTAACATGTAAAACAAAATAAGAAATAAAATACAAATCAAACTACCTGTATATAGAATCTTTTTGTTTACTATAATATCATTGACTAATGTCTGTTCATTTCGTAAATATCTTTAATGTCACTTGAAAACTGATATTTATAAAGACAAGATGAAGATCGAACTTCAAGTCCTCTTGTGCTTCGAAGGAGTGTATTCAAACTGCCAGAGTTTCGGAGGGTTCTCTGGTTTCCTCATAGCTGAGATTTCTCCGTCGATAATCTGACTTTTACCGAGGTTTTCCAACCGGGGTTCACGCCGCAAATCACCGTTCACACAGGGCTGATATTGATCCGATACAGAAGAGAAACAATCTTTTATTAACAGATAGATACTTTGATAGATTCATACATTGCCAGAAAGATACTTAGATAGACATATACATTGCCAGATAAATAGATATACAGATAGATAGATAGATAGATAGATAGATAGAAAGATAGATAGATAGATAGATAGATAGATAGATAGATAGATAGATAGATAGATAGATAGATAGATAGATAGATAGATAGATAGATAGATAGATAGATAGATAGATAGATAGATAGATAGATAGATAGATAGATAGATAGATAGATAGATAGATAGATAGACAAATGGTTAGATAGATAAAAAGATAATAATCACGCACCTCTGCCCCTTTAGAAAAGTAAATTCTACCTATATGAAGCATAAAGTCTGAACGTGTGAACATTGTTGCACTGGCTAGTCCTGTCCATAGAGCTAGGTACAGTACAAACTGGGAACGCAACGGTTAACCCAGCTCGATATTTCAAATATACTACGGCTGCCCGAGTAATAGACACTAAATATATTTATTTTGATGACGAGTTAAGACTGAGAAAAAAACCTCGGAAGACGAAAGATTTGTTTAGGATAAATAAACAGCTATTATTAAATTGTTAAAAAAGAACATTGCATTATTTATTTGAAATTACAATAAACGTATCTGTAAAGAATGAATCATTAATTGAGAAAAAAGGTAAATGATTATAAGGAAGAAAAAATAGGATTAATCAGTGAACATAATTAAGTTGATTAAAAAGTCTTTTAATAATTGTCTAAATGATGATTTCTATGCCCTACTTTTTCTTTGAATCTTAATTTTTTTTACTAAAACATCTAAAACAGTTTTAGTTAGACAACCCTTAACCATAGATTGCAATAAAAAACGAGCTATTTTCATTTCAAAAATTCATTCCCTTAACCAAGAATTTTATTTTAACAATCCTGATGTTATTTTGAAACTGTATAATATTTACTGTTGTAGTTTTTATGGATCTAGTATTTGGGACTTGAGTTCCCAATGTGTTTCAAAATTGTATACAGCATGGAATACTGCTATTAGAATTCTTTTTAATGTACCTAGAGATACGCATTGGTACTTGATTGAAAGTATTTCACAATGTTTACATGTAAAAACTATGTTAGCTAGCAGATGTGTGTCTTTTTATGAGACTATTGAAGCAAGTTCTAAGCTTTGCATTAGATTTCTTTCTAATTTATGTAAAAATGACCTCAACACAGTTCTTGGCAGAAATTTATTTTGTATTGCAAATGATTGTTCTGTAAATCCTTCCGATCTTAGTAAAATGTTAGTTAAGAAACAAATGAAATATTTTGATGTCCCATTTGAACATGAATGGAAAGTTCCGGTTTTACAAGAACTTTTAAGTACACGAATGAATAATTTATATGCTGAAGGATTCGATGATTACGTAATAACTGAAATGATAAATATGTTATGTAGTGAGTAAAAATCAATATTTTCTATTTGTGCATAATTTTGCATATTTTTTCTCTTTTCTTTTGGAAACCTGTATTTTCAAAAAAATTTATTTAAACAAATTTTAACTACACCATTTATATATGTATTTATATCTTTGTGTGTGAATAAATCTTTATAATAATAATTGTGTGCTAAACAATACCTGAGGGGGGAGGGCCCGAGGGGGGGGGGGTCATCGTATGCGCGCACTTTTAAGATCGTCTTCCTAGTTAATATTGTCTTTTAAAATTTCCCCCCCAAGGAGTTCTGACGTTGAAATTCTTTCTTAATTAATTAATCTTTTAAGGTTTGTGGGTTTTCTATTTGAATCTAAAAATATTAACAAAAGAAATGACTTCCAATAATTTAAATCTGAATAAAAGAATTCTTTTTAAAACCATAATTATAAATTATTGTGAAAAATCATTTCACATTTAATTTAATTTAAAATCTTTCATGTTTTTTTAATATCATAATTTTTTATTGAAGAGATATTGAGAAAAACATGAAACAAGAAATGTTTTGAATTTTATGATATGTAACGAAATAAATTTCCGTAAGAACAGAATTATAGTAGCGACGTAGTCACAAAGTATAGTAACAGCAAATAGATTCTAGTACAAAAGATGGCAACGTAGAATTTGTACACTCTCAGTGCAGCTGTGTTCTGACGTCACAAGTGTCAACTCAGTTTGTGTGTCCGACAAAATTATTAATAATAGTGATAATTTTAGGAAAAAGTGCTTATTTTACAGTAAAATAAGTGCAATTTTATGTGTTCTTTAGTTTCTGTTTTTACACTTTTTTATTTAATCTAGGAAAACATGTTAGAAAATTTAGTTTCCTTGTTTTATTTAACACTTGTGACGTTGTGTATATTTGATCCATTTCTCTGTTGCCACCTATTGTACTTGACAATCTATTTGAGTAACAGTAATGTAATGAAATGAATTTGATCTTCTTCTCCTGATTTAAAAAACTCGGGAAAGTACGGCTCGGGTCTAAGCTGTTGGGCCTTATTTACAGCTTGAGCTTTCGAATTCAAGCTGCATCTTATATTCCATAGAGTTGAGTTTAAAAAACCGGTTTAATATTTTATTTGGTTTAATTTTGATTACAAAAAAAAATTGAATTATTGATTGATAAGATTATTGCATAAAAGATGGATGCGAATTGCTCTGTTTTATAATGTCTACCTAGTACCTTGTGTCCTCCTTGTTAATGACTCTAACTATGCCAGTTTAGAAGATTAATTAAGTAAAGGTTCCATAAGCCAACAATAAAAGAGATAGTGTCACTTTTTATTGGAAAAATAGATTTCGGAAATTCTTGATAGACTATTGGTATGATACATTTTTAAACTATTTTGGATGAATGATATGGGAAGTGAAAGCTTAATGTAAAAATATGGGAAATAAAGTGAAATATCAGGGGTAAAATGAATAAAAAGGAAAAGGGAAAATGAAGGAAAATTTGTTGGTATAAGGAACTAAGAAGGGGGCCGGGAAAGAGGAAAATGTTGGGGATAGGAAAGGATGGGGAAATAAAGGAGTGGATGGAGGTAGAGAGATAAAGGTTAGGGGGGAGAAGGAGAGAATACATGAAGGGAAAAAGATACAAGTGATAGCGGGGGAAGAAATTAGGGGATGGGGAAGAAGAGATTCAGAGTGTGTGTTATGGGAGAACTGATTGCAAAGGGGAGATGGAGGTGGAACAAGACAAATATATTACAAACAAGAAAATAAAAAAACATTCATCTTAATCTGCGTTATTCATAAAAGGGGCTGAAGAAGTAAATTCAAGCATATGACCCTTCATTTAAACAACGGTAAACTTTGTACCCTTTGTTTGATAAAGATATCCTAGTCTTTCAATCTAAAAACTTGCTATTTTTGGATTAGGTTTATTTAAAAAATCTTTTTCCAAGATAAAAAAAATAGTAACTGTTTTAAGGGTACCTATAGTGAATCAGATATACCACTAATAAAGATCACTTGTAATTATAAGTTCTATCTAGAAAGTCTCTTTTTATTTTAAAAACATTCTTTTAATTAAATGAGAAGAATTGGCATTTTGAACAATGTACTTAAATTTTAGAAAGAAACCTTTTAACATAGAATGATAGAATGCAGAAACTTTAAATGTCGAATCAAAAAAACTAAAAAAAGGAATGACAATTTGTCAAAACATTAAATGTTAAAAAATGTCAGCAGATTGTTTGAAGGGCAACCTTTCAAAGATTTTTTAACATTGATGGACTTTAAAATATCCTTCGCCATGTTATTGTGAATATCAATTTCAATGCTTGATCCTGATCCTTTGTAAATATGCATGGATTATTTTTACCATTATTCAATCACCAGGCACCCCTGCCCCTTTTCTAAAAGTAAATTCAACCTTTATGAAGCATAAAGTTTTACCGCGTCAACCTTGTTGAACCGGCTAGTCCTGTCCATAGAGCCAGGTACAGTACAAACTGGAACCGGAAAGGTTGACCCGGCTCGGAAATTCACATGTACTACGGCTGCCCGTGTCACACACTGTAATCGTACTTGCATGGAGGACTTACTGAACTGGCGAGAATAAGAATTTATACACAAATGCTCACACTGGATATCTAATCAAGCTATCGGGATTAAGACTCTCCAACACAACAGTTCCCAGCTCTGGAGTCAGTACTTTTCGAATTTCGAATTTTGAATTTCGAATTACTAAAACGAAGAAAGCAAGCATTTATCTTATCATGTTACAACTTACAAGTTTACACTACACATATTGGATATCTATATCAAGCGTTCTAAAGTTCCAATCTCTGGAGAAATAACCCAAACAGTTTGAATATGTATGCCTTAAAAAAGAACTTTACAGTGTTAAGTCTATTTTTGTGTGTGTTTTCTGCAGATATAAAGTCTAATTTTATGTCGAAAATTTAAAAATAAATCCTTTTTTGCTTTGGTTTTTTATAAGCTTTAAACTTTTCTCTAGAATTTATGATTGAAAGATTATTCAGAACTAAAAATAAAAGAAATAGATAAATAAAGAAATAAAACGTTTATTTTTACAAAAAAATATTAAGCTGGTAATCGATGCTTTTCAGGAATTTTATAATCTAAAGTGACCGATATCATTTATTGAATACATGGTCCGATACCTTTTTCTAAAAAAACTAATTTTTTTTTGCGAAAATTAACAACGCCCTGGAAAAAAATGATGGTTTTCTCTTTTAGTTTAGTACTGATCATAACGGTCTTAATCTCAAAGCTTTTCATATCATATATACATGATTCAGAATGAGTTTTATAAAAAATAATATGATTTGTAGTTCTGTTTGTTGGATAAAAAGTCTAATTTATGGAACGTATCTACTAATTATTTTCATATTTGACAAACACAGAAACAGGG